CCACTCCTCCATTCTCTGTCTCTCCAAAGGACACCCTGGGTGGTGGGTTTGATGCCACCCAAGCGTTTGTGGGTGAACTGGCTCATTTCAACATCTGGGACCGCAAGCTAACGCCGGCGGAGGTGTACAACCTGGCCACCTGCAGCACCAAGGCCCTAACCGGCAACGTTGTCGCCTGGGCCGAGTCCCAAGTTGACATCTTCGGAGGAGTCACCAAGTGGACATTTGAAGCCTGTCGCCAGATCAACTGAGGGCTCTGGGCCAGGGCTGAGCGCCCCCGGCCCCAGCCCCCAGCCCCACACCCGTCCCTCTGCTTGTGCCACCATGACCCTCCGTCCCCCAGCAATGAATCCAAGCCCTGGCCCCTGCACACGCACACATGCACACACAGCCTGGTTTGCCCCTTCTCTCTGGCACGCACGCACACACGGAGCAGTCCCGGCTGGCGGCTGACCCTGAGGATAATCCACCTCTCTTTGGGACCCGTAGACCAGGTCCTGGGCGCCCCCTGCCCTCAGCTGCAGCAGGCGGCCTTGGCATTTTGCAGGAGGCAGAAGTAGGTGAGAGGGGTGTGTTTGTGTGTGTGTGTGTACGCGCGCGTGCATGCGTGGCCTGAAGGAGACTTCTGTAGGCGTCGGTGGCCTTTCCTTCCCTTCATCCCTCTGCCGCTTCAGGGCCTAGCGCCGCCGCCGCCGTCACCATTGCTGTCCGAGGACCCTGGTGGCTGGCTGCTGCCCACGGGCACTGCTTCCTGAGCACACACATCTGTCTTTGCAGCCCTTGCGGAGGCCGGCAGTCTCTGGTGAGGATAGATGTGCACGCAGCCTGTCCGGCCAGCCCTCCCTTGGAGAGTGTTCACTTTGCATTCCGAGCCAAAGCCCTCCCTTCCCGAGGCTCCAGTGCGCTGGGAGGGGGAGAGTCTGCTGAGGAAGGGGTGCTGGCTGAGGATCTGGCTGAGCCCTGTGCACCCACCACCCCTGCTGCTTGCATTTGTGGCAGTGCAAGGGCCTGCTCCCTCTGCCACCTTTCTCCTCGCACCGCACCCCACCAGGTGGGATCCATATCCCACCTTTATCTGTGCTGACTGGCCTTCGCCTACATTCACCTAAGCAGCTGCAGGTAGTCATGGCCCCAAGGCTGCCGCCTCCCCTTAGTTGCTGGCAGGGGAGACCAGAGACTTCAGTGGGTCAGTCCCAGGGGGGACCTTTCAGACACGGGGACCCGCTTTCTGATGAAGGCCCAGCCACGCAGAGTCACTGAGATGTCAACCCAACGGGCTGACAGGTGGCGGGGAGAGGGGTGACCCGTGGTGATCCTGACAGCCATATCCCTCCCCCCCATCCCAGACCCAGGCCTGGGAGAGCTGGTTCCCAAAGGGCTCCCAGCTGTGGGGGTGCCATCGCTCACTGGCTAGGGACCTGGCCAGTGTCTAGAGCCTTTGGCTCATCCCCTTTCCCGTGAAAAGCAGCCACGCACGCTTCCTCCTGGCTCTCCTGAGGAGGGGACAGCGTTGTGTGTGTGTGTGTGTGTGTGTGTGCGCGCGCGCGCTCGCGCCCACATGCATGCATGTGCGTGGAGGGTGAGCAGCCGGCCGGCGGGCACGTCCAGGGCAGTATCAGCTCTTGGCTCCGCTTGGCCACCCCTGGCCAGGGTGGCACACCCTTCGGGGACCCTGGACTCTGCCACCAGGCGTCTCCTGAGCAAACTACTGGCGAGTCTTCCTGCAGTGTGCTATGCTGCCTGGCGGCTCACCTGCAGCTGCAGCCATTCCTCCGGGGAGCAGGCGCTCCTGTCTCCTGTCCCCCGGGAAGGGGTGGGGCTGGGGGAGGCGCCTGCCTCCCTCAACACAGGTCCATTTTGCCTCGGAAACCCTGTGCATCTGTGTGTGTCGGTGTCTGTGTGCTCGTAGGTGCATAGGTGTCTGCACGGTCCCCTATCGTCGCTCTGTGGTGCGGCCTGCGCCTTCCCAGGAGGCAGAGCCGGGGAGGCCGTGCCTGCTGACGCAGTGGCTTCTTCCTGGACACCCGTGCTCGGCCCGAGCCGGCTGGGCCGTGGCCTCCGCGGGTCTGCAGGAGTCTTCTCTGTTTGCATGTTCCTCGGGGTGTCGTGTTCCTCGCTCCTCTGGTCCAACGTGTGTCCCCCTGCCTGCATGGACTCCCACAGACCCGTGTTGTGCGCCTAGAGCCGCTGTGTTCCCTGACCACCCGTGTAGTTACCGACCATGCTGGTCATCAAGCCAAGGGTGACGGAGGAGGTCAAGAGGTCGATCAACTCCCCGCGCCCCTCCCCATACCCCTCACACACCCAGGATTTTTAACAAGTAGGTTGAAAACAAGTCCGAGTGCTGCCCGTAGTTGGGAGAGATCAAGAACTGGAATCGCCCCCTAGATCAGAAGAGTCCCCCTCCCCTCACGCCCTCACTTCAGCCATCTTGGAGCGGCTGCCCTGGCAAGGGCAGGTGCTTTCTCTCCAGCACCTCCCTCAGTCCAGCCGGCCCAGTCGCCCGGACCCCCACTGCCTCCTGCCCCTACGGGCAGGGCACTGTGGGAGCTGTCCATTTAGGACCACAAGCCATCCTCTGCCCGCCATGGAGAAGGGCAGAGCCAACCACGATGCTTCGTATGCCTCTGTCCGAAGCCTCCTGACCCTGTCGCCTTCCTTGCCCCTCCCTGGGGCACCCAGGGGGCCAGGGACAGCAGCTGGCGTTTAGCCCCCCTCCCCGCTCCAGAGGAGCCGGTGCCAGGGTCCTCCGTCCCCTCACTGTGTTAACACTTGGCACTTGGCTGCCCCCGAGGAAGGAAGAAGACAGCCACACAGCTAATCCGAGTAGTTCCCGTCCCCTCCTCAAGCGGTGGACGCTCCCTCTCGCACTGAGTCCCGCAGGCCTCTCTCAGGTAAATGCCATTTTATAAAACAAGAAGATACTAAGGCGTTGTCCAGGCAGCGCTCCATTTTTGCCTAGTTGGTGTCCGGCCACCCCCCGACCCCCGGGCACCCCAGCGGTGGGGGGGGAGCCCCCCCCGCAGACAGAGGCTCTCCCGGCCCCCGCCCCCTACTCCGGGGCGGGGGGGCCTTAGATCCCACTTGAATCTTAAGCCTTCTTGCTTTTGATAACAACACAGTATTATTTCTCTTACTGTAGAAGAAAAAAAAGTTTATTACCAAACAAGAGTATTTTTATGAAAGAAAAGGACAAACTTATAAATTAAAGCTCCACCTAGTCTATCACCCTCGGAATCGCTCTCCGGCCCGTTGGCTGGTGCGTGGCCCGAGGGCGCCTATTTTGGAAGAAAAGAGATGCGTTTTTTGTACGCTTGCTTTCCCTTTTGTAGGCTCCTGTTGATTTTCTAAGACTGCGACGATCACTTTGTGACCAGCCCTGGGACCTGAGACCAAGGGGGTGTCTTGTGTGCGGGGAGGGCCGGGGTGGGCATGAGGTTCATGGGATCGATCCTTCCCATGTGCTCCAGGGAGGGGCCCGCCAGTTCTCATGGGCATGTTGGCCGTCTCCGGTGGGCTCCGGGACCTGGGAAAAGTGGAGCACTTGCGGGTCAGTCCCAACCCTGGTAGAAGAAGTTAGCGACGCATTGTTAAAATTCAGAGGATTGAATTGCTTGTCGTCCCTGGCAAACCCAGAAAGAACTCTGGCTTGAGCGGTTTCATCTCTTCGAACAGTGTGTGAATTTATGTGGCTAAGGATAGGACATGTGCTACTGTGTGTCCAGTGGACCCGAGTAGGATTCTCGCCGAAGGGGAACTAGTCTTTGAGGAGGGGGAAAAAAAAGCCCAATAGTTAGATCCCCATTTTGTCTTATTTGCCAAACCAACCAACAAGCCACCCCTGAGGTTGATGTTGTTACTTTGTATATACTGTAAAGTATCGGCACTGCGCTCCCACTCTTCCATTCTTCGCTAACCAAAGCCGGGCACTTTTCACCCGACCGCAGCCATCTGGGTATCAGATGGGTCCAACCCATGGGACCCGCCCCCTCCCATCGGCAAGTCTGGAAATGCACTATTTCTACGGATCTTCTTGCTTTCTGCCCGTATTTTTCATTTTCTTGCTGAAATGACATGAATTGTTGAGTTTATTTTTACACAGTAAAGCGTGAAGAAAGACTGGTGTCTGTGCAGAGTCCTTGTTCTCTTGCGGCTTCCGTGTGCCTTCTCGGCCTGCCAACCACCTCGGCTCACAGCCCCTACCTGGAGGGGCCACATGGCCGTTCCCTGCAGTGGGGCTTGGCACTAGGCCTGCGCTGGGGCCTGGCGGCCATCTCCTGCCTAGGTGGGCACCGCAAGCCCTCATCTCAAAGGGGCAGCTGGCCAAACGGGGGGCAGAGAGAGAAGGGGTCCCTGCCAGCTCCCTGGTGCAAGGGTATCTCCCCTCACCTGCCGTAGCCCAGGCCTGGGGGGTGGGTGGGGTACGCTCAGCTGGGCACCCTGCCCGGGCAGCAGGGCTTTATGCGTCCTAATGGCCCCGCTCTGACATACCTCCACATGGCTCCTTCTGGAGCCCTCTGACCCCTCCAGTCCCCAGGTGTCATGGGTGCCCAGGTCTACTTCACAGCCCAAAGGATGACTGGGGGTACCGGGAATTGTCACAAATGCTCTTCCTTGGACCTAACTCAACACATGCAGGACTGGAGAGCTCCTCCCGTCCTCGGCCCACTGACCCTGCGACTAGGTGACTCCAGACACTTACAACCTGAGGCCGTGCACCATGCAGCCCCCATCGCCCACCTGAGGGATTTGCTTCCAGCATGTACACACACACACACACACACACACACACCAGTTAGCAGAAGGGACCCATCTCTGGCTTTTGTGCACAAGTGCTCTGGGCCCTGCTGCCCAGGGCTTCCCTGGCGGGGACTTGAGCTAGGGCTTGGTGGGCTATGGGTGAGCCCCCTGTTGCCTGGGGTGGGTATGGACAGAGGTCTGTCCTTAGAACAAGGAAAGAGGAGGGAGGGACGGAACAAAGAAAGAAGTCAGGTAAGCTTCCCCAGCAGGGAGAAAGGCCACCCAGATGGGAGGCCCTTGGACCTGCTGGTGGATGGTGGCCCCTACTGGGTGCACGTCACTGGGCAGGTCCAGTGTTACCCCAGTGCCTGCTGCCCTGGCTGCCTTCACCTCCTGCCCTCACGAAGATGCAGGCCTGCCCGCCATCAACCACTCTCAGGTTTCTAGGTTCTGGGGTCAGAAATGGGGGCCACTGGACTATTCTTAGGGACAGATCACTCTCCACACGTCCTGCCTGGGGTCACTGCGCACCAGCCAGTGGCTCATGGAGGGCAGCTTGGAAGGAAGCCATTGGCCCTTGCAGTGAGTGGCATACATGGGGACTCAGGCTCAGGTGTTCTCCAGCTGCCATCCGATGCCTGGCATGCTGTTGGCTTACAGACGGCTGGCGATGGGGAGCTCACTCCCTCACAGAGACAGTCCCACGGTCAGACAGTCTGATGATCAGAGACTGACGGTGGCGGCGTGCTCCCTTTGGGGGCCCGTCTCAGGGACAGGTACACATGAAGACGCGAGTGTGCCCCCAGGCTCTTCACTGCCCACCCCAGAGAGAAGACAGGCCAACTGTGGGCAGGGCTGCCCGTCCACTGTGCTGGGGAGCCTGGCTCTGCCCTTAAGGGGAGATCTGCCACCTTGGTACCCCGGTACCCTCAGCCTGCCCTGAGACGCTGGGCCAGCTAGGTTGGAGCCTGGGCTGCCCCTCTCAGCTGGCCCCAGGAGCAGCTGGGCCATGGAGCCCTGAGCTTTGGCTGCTCACTGGACCAGGACGCAGACTTGAGAGCCCCAGGCTGTGGCACTGGGGGGAGCTTGCAAAGTGTGAGCTCAGGACTCCCCCTTTGTAAGGTTTGGGAGCCCTTTGAAAGCTTCTGGAATGCTCTTGCTTCCTGCCTATGTCGGAGCCTGCTTAGCCAGGCTGTGGGGGCCCCTGCTGGGGTGGAGTCAGGCTTGTCCCCACAGAACGACTGCTGGTACCTGGTTGGCAGGGAGGCTCCTCCGCCTCCTCTCCCCACACCACCCCCTCGCCAGGGGTCGGGGGCACCATCAGGCCCCTGGGTCCTTGTGCTTCTTCTAGAGGTCTACCTTCCTCAGCAGGTTCGGGTCCACAGTTCAGAGGGCCTCCACCCCTCTGTCACAGAGCCCCCTCAGACTTCTGGGGGGAGGCCACTGGTCATGCTCAGGCTCTTGTGTTTATGGACTTTGTCTCTTGGAATCCCAACAGCCACCCCAGGGAAGGGTGGGCGGGGAGCTGGTGGTGAGGCCAAGCTACCTGCCTAGCTTGTGCTGGGGGAGCTGCTGCTTGCCTGGGTGCCCCGCTGACCCAAACATCCCTAAGCCATCCTACAGGTGGCTTGGAGAACCTTTGAAAGGAGGGTGGACCCCACTTCCAGAAGCGTCCACGCCTCCAAGGTTTGCCTTTGGGGGTCCGTCACCTGGACTTCCCAAGCATGGCACCCCACAGCCAGTGCCCAGATGTCCTCCTGGGCTCTCTGAGGAGCCACTGGGCTGGAGCAGGACCTCTCTCCTCTCCAGGTTTGGCCTGCGGGTACACGGACACCCTCTGAGCCTGCCTGCCACGTGGCCCCGCTGCTGGGCTGTGGGCTGTTCTGATTGTTCCATCCTCAAAACAGGAGCCACTTGCTCCTTGGTTTCTTCAGGGAAGGACGCTGCATTTCCTAAGCTTGTTTAGCTGGGGGGGCATGGGGACCCTGTCACCCCCCGAAGGGGCCCTGGTCCCCTGGGGCCTAGGAATCTCATCAGGGCAGGACCACATGGTCTTTGCAGTCCCTCTGGCTCTTCCTGTCTCCCCGTGTTCTTGAGAAGACACTTGACCCTTGCTTTAGCCCTCAACCCCAGGGTCCACTTGTGAACTCTGGTCCCCTGCCATGCGTACCCAACCTCCCCTCCCCTCCGGAGGCCGAGAAGACAGGCCTCTCTGTGCCACGCAGACTTTCAAGATCCTTCGTGAAGCCTCAGGTCCTGCCCCCAGAGTCACACATGAGCTTGTTTCTGAAAGTCAATGGTGGGCCCTAGAAAACACCAATGACCGTGAACTCAGGGTTATGGGACAGGGTCCACGTATCGGTGAGGTCTGGTTCCTCTGCTGTGACTCACTCGAGCATTCTGTACATATTAGGCCATCCCAGGAGCGGTGGCCTGGACCGTAGCCTTCCCCTTTGGAAGGATGAAAGGGAAGAGGCAGAGAAGGGAGCCAGGAATGAAAACCCATGATTAGGTCTTTGGAAACATCCATCCACCCATCCATCCCCCATCCATCTCTCCATCCATCCATCCATCTCCTCATCCATCCATCCATCCATCTCTCTATCCAACCACCCATCCATTTGCCCATCCATTGACCCACTATCCCACCTACCCATCCATTCTCAAATTCACTCATACATCCACCCCACCCACCCAACAGCCCACCTACACATCCATCCATGCATTCATCCATCCATCCACCCACTCACCCAGTTACCCACCCACTCACCTACCCATCTATGCAATTATATAAATACATAGATTTAATACATCCATATCTCTATCCATCTGTTCATCCACCCAACCACCCATCATGTAGGGCAGCAGTTTTCAACCTGTGGGTCGTGACCCCTTTGGGGATTGAATGACCCATTCACAGGGGTCGCCCGATTCATAACAGTAGCAAAATTACAGTTATGAGGTAGCAACGAAAATAATTTTATGGTTGGGGGTCACCACAACATGAGGAACTGGATTAAAGGGTCATGGCATTAGGAAGGTTGAGAACCGCTGATCAGGGGAATATCCCCTGAGCACCTAGCAACAAACACCTGGGCGGGACGCCCGGTTGGCGGCCTTGGGTCAGAGGAGAAATGGTCACTGGAGGTCCAGCTTAGGCAGGGGGTAGAAACTCAAAGACAAACGATGGAGGCGGAGTGAGGGAGGCTGGCGTGAGCTTGCTTGCTTGTGAGCTGGTAAGACACTGCCAAGGAAGCCGTCTGTCCCCTGCCTGAGTTCTGTGCTTCTCAATTCAGGCCAAGGTGGGGGCCATCTGCTGAAGTGGGCACAGAGAAAACATTGTCACTGTGCGGAAAATTGGCTGCCAGGGAAGGCTGCGTGCTAGCACAGAGCCCACTGAGAGGGGCAGCCGGGCAGCCACAGGGGCTCTGCCTGCAGAGGGGCTGCCCCAGGTCCTTCCCCGACTCACTTCCCAGCCCCCTCAGGGCGCCAGGTCCTGTAGACTGCTCTGTCTCCCAAGCATCAGGCTCCCTCCTAGCCCGTGGGGGGACCTGTGTGTGGAGGCTGCCACGTGCGCTTTGCAAGGGGGAACTCTGCTGGCCCTTGCTCAGCCCGGCCCCTGGACCAGTCAGTCTGGTTCGTGCTCAGACTTCTCTGGCCGGGAGGCCCCATCCGGGCAGTCTGCACAGCCCGCTCTCCCCACTAAGGTGGGTTATGGACCCAGTGAGCCTCCAAACGAATGCTGCACCCCACCCCACGGCTCTGCAGTGGCGCCCTGTGCGCAGAGAAGCCTGTGCGAGCTGGCAGTGGATGGGACTGCCTGGTCTTCCCAGAGTCAGGCCGGCCACCTTTCTCACTTCTTGTAAGAAATACAACCCAAAACCCCACTGCCAGCCAGTGGGTGTGGACTGACAGAACTGCCCTGTGAGTTTCCCAGGCAGAGTAGAGGGTCACTCTTCTTCAGGGAGACTATCTGTACTGGCAAGTGCCCGTCGCACCCAAGTCAGGCTTTCACTGAGTGTCACTGGGTTAGCAGGTAAGACACGGCCGGTGGGAGAGGGGCCAGTCTCATAAAAGGAGCCAACAGAGCTCGGGTCGGAGAGGAGACCCATGTGAGTGTCTGGTCTTGGCACAAGGGACTCCATTTTGAATCTGGCACCTTCTTGGGTCTCAGAACTCACCTCTCATGGGCCTACCTCATGTCGGCCTCCCCTCCCCTCACTGAAAATCACCAGTTCTGAGAACCAGATATCCCCGAGAAAGAATGTTCTTTGAAGATATGTTTACTTCACCTGCCCCGGGTACCTATAGATAAGATTAACGACCACTTCCCTGCATCCCTTGAAGATGTGTTTATTCCACCCATCCCGGACCTATAG